TCGTGGTGGGATTTTTGGGGTTCCCTGTCCCAGGCTGGTCACGGGACTGAGGGCTCCTGATGGGAGCACACAGTGAGTGTGTGCCCACCTCAATCCCTACAGCACATCCAAAGCCTTGGGAAGCTGCAGGATAAGAGGGTGAACAGCTGATAAAATAAAATGAAGTGAAAGAGCTGCCTGGGGAGTGGGAAGAAGCAGCAAAGCAGAGTCGGGTTTCAAGCTCTGCTGCGTGCAGGGTGAGGCTGGGGGGTGTTTCCAGATGTGGAAACCCCACTGTCCAACTCCCAGCCCAGATTTAGGGAAGCAGAGCCCTGTCTGGTGCCCCCGGGGGGGGAGAGAATGTTCTCAAGGGGATGGAGTTGCTGTGTGGGGACAGAGCAGGTCTCCAGCCAAGGAACAGGCCACCACCATTCGGGGCAGATACTTCAGGAGAGACAAATGGATCCCAGCAGGAGGAGGATGGCTGGGGATTTTGGGAACAGCCCGAGGACACTCACTCCAGTGGGTAGAGGGGTGTCCTGCCCCAGGAAGCTCACGAAACCCCCCAAGGGTGCTGCCTTGCTCCACGCTCAGCACATCAAGCCACAGGCATTCCCACAGATTAACAGGATTCCTGTCATATATCCCATCCTTTAATGGATGCTGGAGTCCCTGCCGGGTCCTGCACATCCTCCTCTTCCCATCTTTGGAGGAATCCTGCGGGACGGAGCTGCTGGAGCGGGAAGAGGCTAGGTGTGAGTGCCCTGACTGCAGCAGGAGGATGGATTCCGCTGCCTGCCCTGTCCAAACTCTGCTCCCTGGGCCAGGCAGGATGTCCAGGGTGTCCCCAGCCCCTGTGTCCCTGGGCTGGGATGATGCTGGATGCCATGGGAAGGAGCAGTGCCTGCCAGGGGCTCCCACAGCCGGGACTCAGAGCTGTTATGGGTCCCACATGTTCCCTCCAGCGCCAGGGAGGAAGAGGGAAGCATAAAAATTCCTCGCAGCAGCTGCTGCTGCCATGTGTGTGCCCCCCTTGCCCTCACCCCAAAACCTTCTCCCCACCCAGCCTCCAGCCCAGGGAAGGTGGGGGTGGGGGAAGTGGCTTTAGGGGAGCTGTTTGGGGGGCAGCCTGTGCTGGGGGCCAAAGCAAACAACGTGCAGTGACAGTCGCCCACCCGCCCGCCCAGGGACCACCTATGGAGCCCCCCCCCGCCCCTGCCCGGCCTGCCACGGCTTCCTGAGCGGCTCTGCTGTGCTGGAGGGCTGGGGGGTCCCTGCTTGCCGGGGGGAACAGGAGCCTGCAGCCCCCTCCGTGGGTTATCCCTGCCCTGGGATCGCAGGATCAGGCTGCCTGCCTTCCCCTTCCCGAAGCACACGTGTGTCAGCGTGTGTTAACGTGTCCAGGGACGTGTCAGGGCACGGCCCCGGGTGGGTGTGGGTGCACGTGGGAGCGCGGGGTGAATGGGTTTGCCCCCTGAGATGCGGCGTTTGGGGTGCTGGGGGACACCTGGAGGGGTGAGTGGCCTGGGGAGGGACCTCGGGTCCTCCCTGGGAGTGGTGCGAAGGGCAGGGAAGGATTTTGGGATTGGGTGGGGAATGGGGATGTGTGACAGGGCGAGGGGAGGGCGGATGGAGCGGGGGGGATGTCCCAAGTCTGTCCTGCCAGGGACGTCCCTGCCCCTTTCCCTCCACACCAGCCTAAACGTCCCGGTTCTTCCCCATCTCCGCTTTTCCAGGCCAGGGACCACCTTGGAACGAGCTGGGCAGCCCCCACCAGCAGGGGATCGTGACCCTGAGTGGTCCCCTTTCAGACCCCCTGAACCTGAAGCGATGTGCTTTGTGGGGCCGCGGTTCTGGGCAGATTAGCTGCCCCCTGTGGAGGGGCTGGGCCCGGCCCTAAAGCCCGGCCTAACGGGGGGGTCGGGGGCAGCAGACGGGGGGTTGGTTCTGCTGGAGGCAGAGTGCAGAAACGTGTGGGGTCAGGGAAGCAGTTCTGAGCGTGGACTGGGGTCCTGGGGCAGGGAAAAGGGGCTTGTTCCGAGGGGGCATCTCCCACTCTTTGCTGGGCTGTGCAGCACTGGGGGGACATCCCAGCTGGGAGGAGTGGGGTGACTCTGCCAGGCCCCCCCTGACCCACCAGGGGGTTGGGACGTGTCCATGTGATCCTGGACTGCCTCTGGCCCAGGGGAGCTGGAAGGTCTCTGCCAGCCTGCAGACTCACAGCCCGGGCTTGGGGTCGGGGTTAGGGTTGGGTGATCTCGGGGCTGCAGGGGTGGCAGTGCCCGTGGGGGGCTCGGGGATTTACCTACTCCAGGGGATGAAAAGGGTACAGAGGGGTCTTCTGGGGTGTCCCCCCACCCTGGCCCCTGCCACACCACCACACCCTGCTCCCTGTCTGCCTCTCCTCCCTGCTCTGACCCTCCCTTGCTCCTCCCTAAGTGAGGATTTGGGATGACTGGGCCCTCCCTTGGCCGTTGGAGCTCCCCCCACACACGTGTGCTCATCCCACACGTATGTAACACGCCTGAGCACACGGACATACATCCGTGTGTCCATACATCCAGGGGTGTCCGTGCCCACGTCTGTCTCCCTCCTTCCCACGCTCTCTACCCCCACCACCCATCGCTTTTGGGGTGTCTCCGCTCCCAGCACCCGTCGGTGTCACCACCACACCGACATCGCCCCCGAAACAGCTGCCAGGTGACCCCGAACGGGGGTGCACACGCACAGACACGCAGAGAACACGTGTGTTCACACAGGCACTGACAGCAGCGCGGCTGACCCACGCACACAGCCCCCCCCCCCGGGCCCCCCCGACCCCCCACGCCGGGGGCTGTGCCGGCGGGTGATGGATTGTGCCACACACAGCTCGGGGCCGGGCTCTGGGACCGCGGGGGCTAATCCAGCCCTGACATCACATTCCTCCACAGTGGGGCTCCAGGCGGGGTTAACCCTACCGGGGCTGGGGGCTCGGGGTCCCCCCATCACCCTCAGGGGCTGGGTGGGGTGGGGGCCCTGCTGCACCCCCCGCTGCACCCACCACCACGGGCTGGGGGGGCAGGAGCGTTCCCGGTGCGTGTGGGACCTGGGGTGGGGGTCTGCACCGTCATGGGGAGCTGGGGTGGGTGGTCTGCCCCATCCCAGGGCGCAGTGGGGTGCCAGGGTGGGGGTCTGACCCATCACAGGGTGGGAGGCCGCAGCCAACTCCTTCTCCTGCTTCCCTGGTGTCCCAAGGCCATCCGTGCCCATGTCTGCCTCTCCCTCCTTCCCACCATCCCTGCTCCATCAGTTATCAGTGCTGGGGTCTCTCTGCTCCCACCACCCATCAGTTTTGGGGTCTCTGTGCTCCCACCACCCCTCGGTGTCGCCGTCCCAACCTTGTCCTGCCCCTCCATCCCCTTTCCCTCCCTGCCTTCTCCTCCGTCTCCTTCCCTCTCCCCCCCACCCCGTTCCCCAGTGTCCTCAGGAAACTGGAGCCAGATGACAGATTTTAGATGTGTTTGCAGGAAATAAAAGGCGAGGAGCTGGGACGGGGGGGGAGGGGGGCGGCCAGCCCTGACCCCCTCCCGCGCCGCGTTTGGGCGTCTGGAGCCAGCCCTGCTCCGAGAGCTCCCGCCGCTGGCTGCGCTCCTGGTTTTCTTGGCAGAGGGGAGCAGGAATGTGTTTCAGTTTGAGTTTCTTGGCAGGAGGAGAGCGAGGGAAGATTCCCCTCATCCCGCCTGCGCCTGGCTCTCAAATTTATGCCCAAAGGCTGCGACTTGGGTGGGCCGTGGCGGTGTGCGGCCGGCGGGGGAGGCGAGCGCGGCGGTGGGCGAGACGCCGGATGGTTCCCATTGCTTCCCGTGGCTTCCCATCGCTTCCCATTGGCTCCCGGCGATCCCGGCCCCAGCCAGCCTCCCTCGGCTCGGGGGATGGGGGGGCCGCCGGGATTCGGGGAGCCCCTGTGGACCCCACGAGTTGTGGGGAGCGTCCTGGGGCCAGCGGCGGCGGGGTTTGGGTGGGTTTGGTGCCGTGTAGCCCCCCGGTGTTCCGTGCTGGCGCTCGGTGGGGGGATGTGGGGGGCTGGGGGGGTCGTGGCACTGCATCGTGCCCACCTGACACCCTCCTGGCACCCACCTTGCCGGGCTGGTGCCGCACACCCGTGTGTTCCCCGCGCAGGGGGACACGCTGTGCACACGCGTGTGCTCCGTGTGCTCCGTGTGCCCAGCCCTGTCCAAGGCCAGGTTGGACGGGGCTTGGAGCAACCTGGGCAGGGCGAGGGGTCAGGCAGGAGGCTCCCCTGGGCCTAATCCCCAAACCTTCCTGTGAGGCCCAGGGGCCAGCGGGCAGGTGAGACCCCCCCCCTCTCCTCTGCCCCCCCGCCCCCTGGTTCCTCCTCATCTCCCCTTCCCCTTTGCCTCCCCAGTCCCACCACCTTCCCGGGCAGCCCCCTCCCCTGTGCCTGCCCCGCTGCCCCCCCCTCCATTCTTCCCGCCTGACACTCTCACAAAGCCCCGAGACGAGCTTTCAAAGGGGCAACTCATGCGGAAGAATTGCTGCCCCCCTCGCCCCCCCCCCGCTCCAAACGCAACCCAGCGCTTTTCCCAGCAGGGTGAGGGGCTCCCACTCCCCCAGACCCCTTGTTTGGGGCGATTCCCTCCGTCTCTGAGGGGGAGGCTGAGGGGGCAGGAGCCCTTGTTCCCAGTGCCACCCACATCTGCCTCGTCCTGCGGTGGCTTCTCCTGCTCCTCTGGCCTTCGTGTCAGCCCTCGGGGGTCTCGGGGCACGACAGGGACCGGGGTGGGGTGGCTGGAGGGGTGGGGGGGCAGGACAGTGACCGTGGGAAGGAGTGGATGAGGCACAGGGTGGTGGCTGTGGGTGGGGATGGAGTTGGGGGGCAGGACAGTGACCTGGGCGTGGGGATGGATCGGGGGCAGGACGGTGGCCCTGGGTGGGGTTGGGACCAGGCTCAGGGCAGGACCTCAGGGATCCACGGTGGGCTGGGCTGAGCCCCTGGGCAGGGGCACGATGCGTGGGTGGGACAGGGCAGGGTGGGGACCCGCGGGCAGGGTGGGGACCCACGGGCAAGGCAGGGCTGGGTGGGACCTGTGGATGCTGGAAGATCTGGGGAGAGAGGAGCAGGGAGCCAGCTCTGGTCCTTGGCCCGGGAATGGTTCCAGCTGTGCCTCGCTTTCCCATTTCGTAGAATCCCAGGATGGTTTGGGTTGGAAGGGACCGTAAAGCCCATCCAGTCCCACCCCCTGCCCTGGGCAGGGACCCCTTCCACCAGCCCAGGTTGCTCCAAGCCCCGTCCAACCCGGCCTTGGACACTCCCAGGGATCCAGAGGCAGCCACAGCTTCTGTGGGCACCCTGTGCCAGGGCCTCACCATCCTCACAGGGAGGAGTTTCCTCCCAACAGCCCCAAATCTCCCCTGTTTTAGCTTCAAACCAGCCCGGGGGGGTCTCCGGTCCGGGGGGGTCCCGCGTCCTGCGGCGCCCCCTGGCGGCCAAACTCACTCCACCTCCTCCCCCCCCCAGTCCCTCCCCGCAGCCCCCCGGGCCCCGCCGCCGCCCCGATGCGCCCCTGAGACCCCCCCGGGCCCCACCGAGACATGTTCGACCCCGCCGGACCCCCGGCCGCCGGCTACAGCGAGCACTGCTGCCTGCGCCCCCCCCACGGACCCGCCCCCGCCGCCCCGGGACCACCAGGTGGGTCATGTGGGGGGTCCCCCGCTCTGGCTTCACCCCCCGGGGGTCAGGGGTGCTCCGGGGGTCCCTCTTCCCCATCCAGCTCACCTGTCCTCCCTCCTCCAGGCCTGGATTTCCCCGTGTGCCACCAGCCCGGCCACCGCGGGTACGGGCTGGCACCGGGGGCCGAACACCCCGGTGATGGTGAGTCTCCTGTTCTGGGGGGCTGTGGGGGGTTCCAGAGGGGGCTCAGCATTCCCCCCCTTCCCTCCCCCAGCCCATGCTGAGGGCAGTGCCCCCCGCTCTGCCCCCCCAGGCTCCCGGTTCTCCACGCCCCGCGGTGTGGGGAAGCTGGGGAAGAAGCGGGCGCTGTCCATCTCCCCCCTGTCCGACTCCAGCATCGACCTGCAGACCGTGATCCGCACCTCCCCCAACTCCCTCGTCGCCTTCATCAACTCCCGCTGCGCCTCCGCCGGCGGCTCCTACGGCCACCTGTCCATCAGCACCATCAGGTGGGCACCTGGCTGAGCCGGCTGGGATGGTGGGGAGGGGATGTTTGCTCATGGAGACCTCAATCCTCTCCCCTGATGGCGTCACCTGCTCGTCCCTTTGCTCTCCACAGCCCGTCCCTGGGGTACCAGAGCCCGCCCGGGCAGCAGAAGGGCCAAGGTCACCTGTACACAACCCCCCCTCCCTGCAGCTCCCACGAGCACCTGCCCACGCGCCCGGGGCTCCTGCACCACCCACCCGCTCGTGGGGCCCTCAAACACTGCCAGGTGAGAAGGGGGATCCCTGTGAGCCAGGGATCCATGTGGGGTGTGCATCCCTGTGAACCAGGGATCCATGTGGGGTGTGCATCCCTGTGAACCAGGAATCCCTGGGAGCCAGGGATCCATGGGAGCCAGGGATCCATGTGGGGTGTGCATCCCTGGGAGCCAGGGATCCATGGGAACTCAGTATCTGTGTGAATGGTGCATCCGTGTAGGGATGTCTCCCTGTAAGGATTCATCCCACATAAGCCACGTTCCAGAGGGAATCAGTGCTGACTGCTCCCCACTCTCCTTGCCCCGCAGCAGCAGCTGAAGCTGGAGTGGAGCCTGAGCAGCCCCCTGAGTGCCAGATTCCCAGAGGAGCGATCCGAGGGTGACATCTCCAGCCCAGCGTCCACAGGCACCCAGGTACATCCCAGGCTGTGGGACCCCCCCTCCCCCCGCAACGTCCCCAGGGCTCCACAGTCCCAGCACCGCTCCCATGGGTGCTCACCCGGCCCTGCTCCCCCAGGACCCCCTGCTGGGCATGCTGGATGTTCGGGAAGAGCTGGAGAAGGAGGATGGAAAACCCGAGTGCGAGGCCGTGTATGAGACCAACTGTTACTGGGACGGCTGTGCCAAGGAGTTCGACACCCAGGAGCAGCTGGTGCACGTGAGTCAGGGGCTGCCAGGGTGCCCCCACCCCAAAATCTGCCCTCAGGCTGCCATGTGACTCCCCCCTGGATCAACCCACGATTCCTGCTCCCAGTTCCCACCACCTGCCCTGGGAACTCACCGTGATGCTGAAATCCCCCTGACCACCCTGTGACCCCTCTGTCTGCTCCTGGCCCTTCCAAAAGTGCCCCCAAACATCCCCTGTACCCTCTGCCTCCTCCAAACACCACCAGCTGACCTTTTACCCCGAACTCTGCTGTCTCCACTGACTATCCCAGTCCCTTTATGTCCCTTCCTGCCATCCCAATCCCTCTACATCCCTTTCTCCCGTGCTGTTCCTGTATCTCCCTGTCTCCTGTCCCCCTCCCCTGTGCCACCAGCGACACCCCTCTCCCTCCTTTAGCACATCAACAACGAGCACATCCACGGGGAGAAGAAGGAGTTCGTGTGCCACTGGGCAGCGTGTTCCCGGGAGCAGAGGCCCTTCAAGGCCCAGTACATGCTGGTGGTGCACATGAGGCGTCACACGGGCGAGAAACCCCACAAGTGCACGGTGAGGTGCCCGAAATCCCTCAGAAACGCTCGGTGGCCGACGTGCCGCGGGCGGGGTGGGGGTGACCTGTCCTCCCCCTGTTCTCTTGCAGTTTGAGGGCTGTAACAAGGCCTATTCCCGCCTGGAGAACCTCAAGACCCACCTGCGCTCGCACACGGGGGAGAAGCCCTACGTGTGTGAGCACGAGGGCTGCAACAAGGCCTTTTCCAACGCCTCCGACCGCGCCAAGCACCAAAACCGCACCCATTCCAACGAGGTACGGCCCCTCCCCGGGCTCCCCACGTGCCTCTGCATCGGTCCCGCCCTCCAACAACTCCCCACATCCCTTTGCCATCTCTGAACGCCCCCTTGGTCATCGCCATTCCCACTGGGAGACCTTTATGTGGTTCCTGGGGAGCCTCCCCGAGTTCCCCCCGCCAGCACCCCCCTCCGAGGGGACTCACCCTCTTTGATCCAGAGGGAGGGGAGGGGGTTTTTCTTTAAGGGAGGGGGCTCTGGTTGGAGCTGAACCCGTGCCCCCTCCCTCCCCCCGGGCAGAAACCGTACGTCTGCAAGATCCCCGGCTGCACCAAGCGCTACACCGACCCCAGCTCCCTGCGCAAGCACGTCAAGACGGTGCACGGCCCCGACGCCCACGTCACCAAGAAGCACCGGGGGGACGTGGGGCCGGGCCGGGCGCTGCCCACCCCCAGCGCCCCCCCGGACATGAAGCAGGAGAAGGACACGAACGGCCCCGGCGAGGCCCGCAAGGACGACGGGAAACTCCTGGTGCCCGACCTGGCCTTGGTGAGGGGCTCGGCGCGGGGGGCGGTGGGGGAGGGAGGGGGGATTTGGTGGTGAGGGTCATCCCTGGGTGATGCTGCAAGAGGAAACAGCCTCCAGTTGTGCTGGGGGAGATTTAAGTTGGATATCAGGGAAAGTTTCCTTGTGGAAAGGCTCGTCAGGCGTTGGAAGGGGCTGCCCGAGGTGGTGGTGGAGTGCCCGTCCCTGAAAGTGTTCAGGAATCACGTGGATGTGGCACCTGGGGACGTGATTAGTGGTGTGAAGGTGGCAGTGTCGGGTTAATGGTTTCACTCAGTGATCCCAGAGGCTTTTCCAACCTCAGTGATTCCGTGATTCCAACATAGTGGATACCTGACCCCCCCTTCCCTTGGTCCCTACTCTGGTCCCCTCAGAAGCCGCAGCCCAGCCCGGGTGGGCAGTCCTCGTGCAGCAGTGACCACTCCCCCCTGGGCAGCACCACCAACAACGACAGCGGCGTGGAGATGGCAGGAAACGCCGGTGGCAGCTACGAGGACCTGTCCACACTGGAGGACGTGGTGCCCGGGGAGCCCATGGGCACCTCGGGGCTCATGGCCCTGCACAAGCTGGAAAACCTTCGCATCGACAAGCTGAAGCAGCTGAGGAAACCGGCGGCTTCCAAGGGCCTGAACCTGCCCCCCATCCCTGGAGCCGGTGAGAGGGGGGTGCCCTCCCACTGGGGGGAGGGAGCCATCCCATGGGAACTGTGTGGGGGGCTCTGGGGGGCACTCAGAGGTTTCCAAGCACTCCTGTTATTAATGGTGCACCCCAAAGTCTGGACTGTGCTCCGGCGAGACCTGAGAGCCCACCTGAGGGTGGGGAGGCCCTGGCACTGGTTTGCCCAGAGAAGCTGTGGCTGCCCCATCCCTGGGAGTGTCCAAGGACTGGTTGGAGCAACCTGGGATAGCGGAGGGTGTCCCTGCCCATGGCAGGGAGTGGGACCAGATGGTCTTTAAGATCCCTCCCAACCCAAACCGTTCCAGGATTCAATGACCTTTCCAACCTAAATGAGCTTCTGCCCCTCTTGGTTGGCACCACTGGCACCTTCTCCCTGTCCCCTCAGGGCCTGACCACAGAGGAGCCACATCCCGAGTGCCCCGTGGTAACAACTCCTCCTTCTTTCCCCCAGGCCTGCCCGGGGAGGTGCCCGGGCTCCCAGTGCCACCCCCGGCCTCTCACCGGCGCATCGCGGAGCTGTCGGCGGCCGAGCTGGGGCTGGCGGCCCTGGGCGAGCGCCGGAGCAGCGGCACCAGCACCGTCAGCTCCGCCTACACCGTGAGCCGCCGCTCGTCCCTGGTGTCCCCGTACCCACCGTGCCCGGGCGGCGGCGAGGGGGCCGCGATGCCCGGCGGGGCCTGCCCGGCCGACGGCTACGACCCCACAGCGTCCCCCGACGGGTCGCGGCGCTCCAGCGGTGCCAGCCTGTGCGGGGGCCTGCCGGGCGTGGGCAGCCTCACCCCGGCCCAGCGCTACCGCCTCAAGGCCAAGTACGCCGCGGCCACGGGCGGGCCCCCCCCGACCCCTCTGCCCGGCGTGGAACGGGCAGCCCTGGGCGGGCACGGCGCCGTGCCCCCGGGATACCCCGCGCCCGCCGGGCCCCGCGGCGTGCCCAACGGGCTGCTGCGAAGGCACAGCTCCAACGAGCACCCCGGCTACCCGGGCAGCGTGCCCCCTCACCTGGCGCCCCGGCACGGCGCCCGGCGGGCGAGCGACCCTGCCCGGAGCGCGGCCAAGCCTCCGGCCGTGCCCAGGGTGCAGCGCTTCAAGAGCGTGGGCAACGTGAGCGTGCCGGGCGCGGGCAGGACGGCGCTGCAGCCCCTGGGCGGCTCCGAGGCCAACCTGCAGCGCCACGGCTTCTCCCCGCGGCCCCCCAGCATCACCGAGAATGTCTTCCTGGAGAGCGTGGGGGGCCCCGGCCCCGAGCCCGGCCTGCTGGAGATGGAGCAGTACCTGGGCTATCCCGAGGAAAGCTTCCCGTGCCCGGGCACCGGCGTGGAGCTCCAGGGCGGCATCTACGGCGCTCAGCGGACCGTGGGGGGCACGCCCGGGGACGTGGAGGAGGGGCTGCTGCAGGCCGAGTTCTCCCTCCCGCCGTGCCAGATGAACCAGCACTTCCCCGCTTTGCCAGCTGGGAACGGGGCCGTGGCAGTGCCTTGGGAAGGACCCCCCCAGGGCACGCTGGACATCAGCTCCGGTCAGAGCGTCAGCGCTGCCACCATGTCCGGGCCGCACTGTCCCCATCAGAGCGGCCAGTACCCCCACCCCGGTTCCTGTGGGCAGCACCCCAAACTGGCCAGCCCGTGCCAGGACGGCGGATTTTCCGGGGGGCACCGGTCCTACCGACTCCAGATCAAATCCGAGCAGCGATACCCGGCGCCCGCCCCAGCACTTGCTCCCTGCCCTGGCACCAAACTGACCGGGCCCCCACCGCCCCCCCCGGCCTTTGGTCACGCCATGGACGTGGGGCCGGGCGGGTACCCCCCTGCGGGACCGGCACCCAGTGGGTACGTGGGCATCGCCAGCCCCGGCGCCCGCAGAGCCCAGACCCCCACCCTGCAGACCAAAGAAGTGATGGTCCGGAGCTACGTGGAGGCCCAGCAGGCGCTGATGTGGGGGGAGCAGCCCCCCCCCAAGGGAGGGGCATCCGGCACAGGGCTGGGCGGCGAGCCCGGGCAGTGCCAGGCCGTGCCGGCACCACCGTACCTCAGCCCCAGGTACTGCGGCTACCAACCCAAACCCGATCACCTGCCGGGCCTGGCGGAGCCCCAGCACCTCCTGAACCCCCCCTGCTTCAACCCCGAGATGGTCCCACACCCTCCAGGTGGCCCGAAGCCGCCGGGTCACCCGGCCAACCTGAGCTACGCGGGCAGCCTGGCACAGCCAGGGCACGGCTACGACGGGCTGGACACCGGCTCCCGGCACCTGCTGCGCCTGCCCCCCGCCCGCCCCATGCCCGAGGGGCCTGGCAACCCCCTGGGGTACTACCCGGGCCAGAGCACCCACGGGCAGGGCGGCAAAGGCGGGCACAAGCTGCTGGGCCAGGTGGCAGCGAGCTGTGGGGGCCCCGGGCACTACGGGGGGAGCTCGGAGGGACTCAAAGGCACCTCCTGTTACTACCTGGACTCGGGGGAGCAGGTGTCCAACAGCCTGGACTCCCTGGACCTGGAGAACACGCACCTTGACTTCGCTGCCATCGTGGAGGACGAGGAGACCCCCCCGGCACTGCCCGGCCCCCCCAGCCCGGCCGGGGGGCTCCTGCTGCCCTCCCCGGGGGGTGCCAACATGGCAGTGGGGGACATGAGCTCCATGCTGAGCACGCTGGCAGGGGAGAGCCACTTCCTCAACTCCCTGTCCTAAGCAGGGGTACCCACCCTCAGGTGGCACCTCCGTGACTGGGGAGGGGTGAGGATCCTCCTCACACACAGGTTGATGCCTTGGGGGGGGAACGGGGAGCACCCCTGAAGCCCCCCCCTTGTCCAGTGTCTGACTGCCACCCTCGCTCGGGGGGGGACGTTGCTGGGTCCCACACACAGCCCCCACCCTTCAGGTCACCTCTGGTGGGGGGTACTGGTTTTACTGGGCCCTTATTCCAGTGCCTCGGAGCGTGTCCCACCTGCCCCCTCCCCAGCCTTAATGCCAAACCAAAGAGCCCCCTACCCCCTGGGCAGGCCCCATCCCAGTGTTCCCAGTGCCCCCCACCCCAAATCCCAGTCTGTCTGGACTGCAAGCCCCCCATCCTGCTCTGGGGGGGGGCCAGATCCCCAGGGATGGGGGGGGGAGGGGTGCCTGTACATAGTGTTCATAATGTCTGTCTGTCTGGGGGGTCCCCCCAAACCTCCCGTCTGTGAGAGCACCAGCAGTGCCCCCCAATTAAACCCTTTCTCAGGGGACTGTGACTGTGTCCTTTGTCACCCCTGCGAGGGCTCCAGGCTGGGCCCTGGTCCAGGGGGTTGGATGGGACCCCCAGATCCCCCCTTGGGACCGATGCCCCCTGGCAGCAGCTCCCTCACCCTGTGGATCAGGGATCCAGAGCATCCGGGGGGGCCTCTGGGCTGTTCCCGGAGCCCAGAGTGAGCAAAACTGGTTAAAAAGTGATGAGTGCCCCAAATAATGCAAATGGCCCGAAATAATGCAATCGATTATGCAAAAAAATTGGTTAAAATAATTCAATTATGCAAAATTAGCTGGAGACAGCACAATTAATGATGAAAAATTTGCTTAAAATAGCACAAGTAATGATGCAAAAAATTGCCTGAAATAACGCAATTTTGTACAATTTGCTTAAAGTGACAATAATGTGAAAAATACTTAAAATAATGCCATTTTCTTAAAGTAATGAAATTTATGATGCAGGAATTGCTTAAAGTAATGCATTCGTGCAAAATCGGTTAGAATAATGCAATTAAACCTGCAAAATTTGTTTAAATAACTCAACTTTGCATGATTAGGTTAAAATAATGTAATTAATGATGCAAAAAATGCTTAAGATGCAGTTCGGCGTAATTTGCTTGAAATAATCCAATTAATGATGCAAAACCGCTTAAAACAGTGCAGAACTTGCTTAAAATAGCAGAATTAATAAGCAAATTCGGCATTAGAATAACGCGATTGACAATTAAAAAAAAACCAACAACAACAACAAAAAAAAAGCTTAAAATAACGCGATTATGGAAATCAGGGGAGTCTCTCCCCGCACGCCCAAAGCCTCGTCACGCCGTAATTAACCCGTAATTAACCCGCGATTACAGCGGGGACGCGGCGGAGGGCGCCCCCTGGCGGTGGCGGGGGGTGAGCGCAGCGCTCTCGGGGTGGGGGGTCCGTCGGTCCCCCCCATGTCCCGCTCTGAGCCTGCAGCGCTCCGGGAGCCCCGAGCCGGCCTCCGGGGGGACACTCTGTGGGCCGGGAGCCCCCCGGGATGTGCCCATCAGTCCTTCAGAACGAGCGGGGACCCGGGACAGAGCGGGACCCCCTGGGAACCAGAGCCCCCCACCCCCTCAGCTGGGTGCTGCCCCCCCTTTCCTGCCCCCTCCCCAGGGCAGCGACACCAGAGGGGACAGCGCTTGGGGACCCCCGGCCCCGGGACAGCGTGGGGAGCGCTCGAGAGGAAATACAGCCGGGGCTGTGGGTGGGAGAACAATAAATAGGTGATAAATAGCGATAAATAGAGGTGGGGGGACAAGGCACGGGGTGGGGGGGCAAGGCACAGGGACACACCACGGTGCTGGCAGCAGGAATAGAGGTGAGGGGCTGCCAGGCCCCCCCTCTCTGCTCTGGGCCCCGCTCAGGCCGCAGCAGGGCCCGGGAGAGCCCCCACCATGGGCTCGGAGCCAGCGGGACAGGTCCCCTCCGTCACTTCCCTGCTCGCTCCTTGTGCGACTCTGTCACCACCTGCTGCGGGAGGAGAATTTGGGGGTCAGCCCCACGTCACGGTTGGAGCCCCCCAGGCAGGGACACCCCACCCCCCCCAGGCCTCACCTGCCCGTCCCGTGTCTCGATGGTTTTGATGAGCACCATCCTCCGTGCCGGGATCTCCGCGGGCTGGGGCTCCAGCACTGGGCACAGAGGGGCCGTCAGCCCCCTCTGCCCCCCACTCTGGGCACCCTGAGCAGGGGCACGGGGACCCACCCCCATCCCTGTGGGGTCTCTCCCCCCAAGGATTGACCCCAGACCTAATGAGGGACCCCCAGCTCACCCCTCACCTGAGCTTCTCACGCTGAAGGAGGTGGTGGGGTGCAGGGGGACGGTGATCCTGGGGGGAGAGAGGGGGTGAGGGGGGTCTGGGGCTCCTGGGCACTGCCGGTGACCCCAACCCTTCCACACACTCGAGTCCACGACCTTCATCCCGGCTCAGGCGGGGGCTGTTCCCATGGGCTGCCAGGCTGGCACCGGGAGCGGAGCCAGAGGCAGCTCCCCCACCATCACACCAGCCCCTGGCCTTGCCTTTATCTCGGCAGCGAGAAGCTCCCGTGGGAACCTCTTGTTTTCCTGTGGGAACAGGGCCTGGAGCTGCCTCCTCCCAGGAAAACACCACGGCAACCCAGGCTGCCCTCACCGGCTCTCCTCGCCCTCCAGCAGCTTGCGGTACGTGGCGATCTCGATGTCCAGGGCCATCTTGACATTGAGCAGGTCCTGGTACTCGCGCAGGTGCCGCGCCATCTCCTCCTTCATCTGCTGGATCTCCTGCTCCAGCCGCCCCACCACGTCCTGGTAGTTCCCGATCTCCTCCCCGAACTCATCCTCCATCTCCCGCATCTGCCGCTGCAGCGCCTCGTTCTGCGGGGGTGGAGAAGGGGCTGCATAGGGCTGGGGTGGGGGCACCCCCCAGGCACCCCCCCGGCTCTCACCATGCCCTTCAGCCCATCCACCTCGCAGGTCAGGCTCTGGATCTGCCGCCGGGACTCGTTCATCTCCTGCTTGGCCAGGCGCAGGGCCTCGTGGTTGCGGTTGGCCGCGTCCGAGAGGTCGGCGAACTGCGAGGGCCGGGCGAGCTGTGGCTCTGGGGCACCTCAACTGCCCCCTCCCCGGCCCCTCCCGACCCCCCAGCCCCGGGTACCTTGGACTTGTACCACTCCTCGGCCTCCTGCAGGTTCTTGACGGCGATGCTCTCGTACTGGGTGCGGATCTCGCGCAGCGCGGCCGTCAGCTCGGGTTTGCAAACCTCCACCTCCAGCGGCGCCGCCGGGCTCGGGGCGCTCACCTCCAGGTCCCGCAGCTCCTGCGGGGGCACGTGGCTGTCACCTCGTGGGCACACGGACCTGACCCGCTGCCCCCACCCCACCCCGGGCCCCACCTCCTCGTGCAGCTTCTTGAGGAAGCCGATCTCGTCCATGAGCAGCTCGACCTTGCGCTCCAGCTCCAGGCGGGACAGCATGGCGTGGTCCAGGTCCTGGGGGAGAGGCTGGGATGAGCTGCAGGGCAGCATGGAGGGGATGGCAACCACTTGGATCTTCCCCCCTTCCCGGGGCGGTGGAGGATGGAGATTGGGCACTGCACGGGGGGGACAGGCCCCCCAGTCCCCTCACCTTGCGGAACAGCACCAGGCTCTTCTCTGCGTCCTCACGCTTGTGTGTCTCATCTTCCAGCCTGGGGACAGCAGGGGTGAGAGGGAGGTGAGAGACAGGGTGCAGACCCCTCCTCGTGCCTCCTGTTGCAGCACCCCCCACACTGGAGGCCCATGAGGATGGATTGTCCCCCGGTGCTCCTACAGGTCCACTTCCAGTGACCCCACCCTGCCCCTCCCAGTGCCCCATCCCTCTGCAGAGCCCAGATCTCCCAGTACCTCCCAGTGTTCCCCATGCATCCCCAGTGCCTTCCCCAGCATCTGCTGAACACATCCCCAGTCCCCTTCCCAGTACCCCGGGGGCATCCCCCAGTCCCCATCCTGGCATCCCCAGGGCTCATCCATCCCCATCCCGGTGCATCCTCTGGTCCCAGCACATCCCTCATCCCGGTGCATTCCCCATTCCCCACCCTGGTGCAGCTCTCATCCCATCCCATCCCTCATCCCATGACATCCCTCATCCCAGCTCACCCCCCGATCCCTCTCTGGCACATTCCCCAGTCCTTATCCCGTGCATCCCTCATCCCAACTCATCCCTGGTCCCCATCCCGGCACATCCCTCATCCCAGCGCATCCCCGGGTCCCTCTCTGACACATTTCCCAGCGCATCCCTCATCCCAGCGCATCCCCGGGTCCCTCTCTGACACATTTCCCAGCTCATCCCTCATCCCGATGCATCCCCGGTCCCCATCCCGCTGCCTCCCCCGGCCCCGCCGCCCGCCCACCGCTGCCGCAGGGCCACCAGGTCGGTGGCGAGCCCGTCCCGCTCGGCCTGGAGCCGGTCCCGGTCGCGGCCGAGGCGCTCCAGCCGCTCCCGCAGCCCCCGCAGCTCCCCCTGCACCAGCCCGGTGCGGGGCCCGGTGGCGGCGGCGGCGGCGCGGCCCAGGGCGGCGCGGAGGGTCCCGTTCTGCCGCTCCAGCGCCCGCACCCGCTCCAGGAAAGCGGCGAAACGATCGTTCAGCGCCGCCAGCTCCTCCCGCTCCGCGCTCCGCGCTGCCGCCGCCGCCGCCAGCCGGCCCGGGGCCACGGCGAGGGGCGGCGACGCCCGGGGGTCGCGATCGCGCCGGCTCATGGTACCACCGGGAGGGCGGCGGCTGCCGGGACCGGCTGTTTATAGCGGACAGCGGCTCCGCCCCGCTGGGGACACCGGGGGTACGGACGAGAGGGGAGGGGTCTCCCGGTCGGGGGGAGGACCGGGGGCTGCGGATATCCCCTCCCGGGGGCGGGGAGAGGGGCTGCGGGACGGGGGGCTGCAGGGTCCGGAGACCCCCTCGGGATGCGGGTGGGTCCCGTCTCGAGGATGCAGCATCAGGTGTGGGGGGGAAGAGGGGCCGGGGGCGCCCGGGAGACACAGACCCCCGACTCGGGCAGAGGGAGCCGGTGGGGTCCCCCCCAGGTAGCACGGGCAGACCCCCCCAGTTGGAAAGCAGGGAGGGGCCGGGGGCTGCAGGGCCCAGCACAGCCCCCATCTCAGCTGGGTGCCGGGATGCTCAGCACGCACGGAGGGCGGGCCGGTCCCTCCCCGCGGTGCCGGGGCAGCCGTGACTCGGCTCTGCGGGAGTCGCCATGTGCGGGCAGCGCTGGACAACGGGCTCGGCCCTCCCCGGCCCCCCTTTCCGGGCAGAGAGGGCGGCACTTACGGGAAAGGATCAGTGTGCCCTGTCCAGGGGCTGGGGGAGGGTCCCTCCCGCCCAGGACCCCCCTCCCAGCTCCGCAGAGCACCGCACTGAGAGTGGCTCTGTGCCAGGAGCAGCACAGCACCACGTCCAGCCCAGCCTGTCTGCACCAGGGCTGGGTCCTACCCATGCACAGGGGGGTCCCCCCCACTTGGCAACCCCCAGGGACAGCAGAATGGGGAGGGGGACATCAAGCCCTCGTGGTAAACAGCCCAGCAGGGCACTGCCAGCTCACAGCACAGGACCCAGCCAGGAACTCCCATCCCACACAACTCCCCAGTCCCCCCTCAGCACAGTCCCTGTGCCAGCTGGCAGCACAGCCAGGCAGCCAGCCCGGCCAGGGCCACCCCTCCCCAGGGACATCCCCCCCAGGTCACCACAAGGCAGATTGTCCCAGCACAAAGAACGAGGCAGGAGTGGAAATAGCCATTTTAATGAACAGCACCACAGTGTAACACAAGAGACAAGGCACTAGTATTCCGCCCCCTCGTCATCCCCCTCCATGCTGTCGGCCCCCACCTCCTCGTAATCCTTCTCCAGGGCAGCCATATCCTCCCGGGCCTCCGAGAACTCCCCCTCCTCCATGCCCTCCCCCACGTACCAGTGCACGAACGCCCGCTTGGCGTACATCAGGTCAAACTTGTGGTCCAGGCGGGCCCAGGCCTCGGCGATGGCCGTGGTGTTGCTCAGCATGCACACGG